TTTTTTTTTTAAATATGGAACACCTGTTCTATTGGCCCATTTGCCTCATTCACAGGAAGAACCTTTATTTTGTTTTCTGTTGGAAAATAATGTGGAAGTTTTTACTAGGAAAAGAAATGGATCATTATTTTACTTTAGTGTTTACTTGCTGTTTATATTTTGAGTCCCAAAATACCGTGTTGTTTTAATGCCTGTTGATTAATATGCAACATTATTATATTGGTCTCTAAGGAATGCTTAGATTTCTTTCAAGTTGACATACAGATATTTACTTTTATATATTTTTAGTAAAAAATAATGTTCTGTTAAACTGATGTGCTGTTTCATTTTCTAACCCCCAATATATTATTATAGATTCAAATGATAGTTAAAACAACTTTTATTGATGTGTTTTAAGGTTCAAAACTGAGATGACATTTCTCTTTTTATATAGCTGTGCCACAGATGCCACTTTTATATATATTAAGATATATTAATAACTTAGATTTGTTTTAAGTACAAGTAATTATTTGTAAAATTAATGCTTTTGTTTTATTTTAGAGTGGAGGTTTGGAAATAAACAAAGAAACCAAAGACAAACAATTAGAAGATGGCTATTTCAGAATAGGTAATTTCTGCATTAGTAAAATGTCCTTTATTTTTCTGGACTTATTCCTAAAGTAATTTTAAATTCTTTTTAGATGTTAAGCAACTTGAGGATTACAATTGCCAATGTACTCCAAGGTTTATTTGTTCTTGTGTTTTAGTACTTAATATTGTCTTTACCCAACTAGGATGTCAGAACAAAAGTTCATTTGCTGGTTCCTTTCTTTGTCCATCTGCCTTGTCTGTGTTGATATTCACTGATTGACTCTGCCGTCAGGTGCCTCTTCCCATTTGTCTGTCACTGGATGAGCTTAGGTTTCTCATGGTCTCAGCTAACATCGATCTGCCAGAATTTGTGCTCCTGGCCCCTTCCTCCCTCCCGACCGTCACATCTGTAGTGAGATGTCCACTGACATCGTCACCTGACAGCCATATCGCCAGCTACTCTGAGCAGCTGTAACACAGACGTTTCTTTATTGGACACCGCGGATTTTGCTGTCCGTATTCATCTAGTTGCCTAAGCCTAACCTTAGGAGTCACTCTGAATACTCCCTTCTCCCTTACTGTCCATAAGCATAAAATCTGCTGATTTTGTGTCTGAGAGTCTTGAGTTGCCCTATCTGTGAGGGTGCCATATGCTCCCTGCCTCTGTTTCAGAGCCAGGGAAGGACTGAATCTACCTGTGTACTTTTGTTGAATTTCCAAAGCCACTGCAGTCACCTTTCTAAAATGTAAACAGAATGATATTGACCTGGGTAAAAACCTTAATGGCTCTCCCTTATCTGATTTCTTAGCTCCCAGCTTCAACATCTTGTTACTTTCTTCTTATTCTGTCTCCAGTCCTGATGCTACTGTTCCTCTATTTAATGCCTTTAGGTACATCTGTGTCGCTAGACATTTTCTCTGTCTGAAATGATGGATGGATATTTCTCCTCCTAATGAATGTTTTTTCACCTTAATTAGCCGGTTGAGTTGCCCTTCTTCTCTGCTCTACAGACCACACTGTGTTCACCTTTCCTGTGTAATCATGTTGTTTCCTAGCTCTGTTCAGTGTTGTGTCTCCTGCAGTTAACACAGAGCCATGTCACTTGGCAGATATTGACTCAATGATTATACATTTTCTTTTACTTAAAACAAATTATAGTTGACCATTAAACAATGCAGAGGTTAGGGGTGCTGACCCCCCACATTTGAAAATCCACGTATGACTTTTGACTCCCCCAAAACATGATTACTTAACTACAACTTCAGTTGCTTAAGTAGTAGTTACTAATAGCCTACTGTTACGTAGGTTACTTAATTGTTTGATTAGGTTGCACTCATGACATACTTAACCAAAAATTTTCCAGTATATTTATTGAAAAAAGGGCTGGCTGGTTACTCGGTTGGTTAGAGTGCTGTGTTCTGACCATAAGGTCAGAGTTCAGATCCCTGTGCGGGTCAGCCAAAAAAAAGAGAAAAGAAAAGAAAAAAATCTGCATGTAAGTGGAACTTGACATTTCAAGCCTGTGTTGTTCAAGGGTCAACTGTAATGCTTTTCTTAGGAGTGGGCAAAAGAGAATATTGTGAACTTAGGTCTACAGGACAGATATAATTTTATTGCTCTCTGTAGAGAAGTTTTACATTTGGTGAATGTCATTTGGCTGTTGCTAAAAGGCTTGCACAGTAACCCTGATATTGCCCACAATAACCCACAGACTAATTTCTATGTAGTTTTGGTGGATAGATGAATTTAGTTATTTTCATATTTAGGCTGCATCTTAGTCCATCTCTAGAAATGTATACAAAATTAGCTAAGTATCCAAGACATTTATTACCCTTGTTACCTGTCAATTTTTTACTTTCTGAGGATGTTGTGTTCTAGATTATAAAAGTAGCATAGGAAATAGAGACATATTAAATATCTCTGCAGTAATTTGAAGATAGTGAACATCTAAAATATCAACTCATATGTACTTAGAACCAGAAGAGATGTTATGGATCATCAAACCTAGGACCTCATGTAACAAAAATACCCATCAGAAATAAAGAGCAACTGATTTTTTTTCAACTGAATATAAAAAGTTTTCCTATTACCAAACCAATAGGAGATTATTGCCCATTGTGCAGTCAAGCCAATAAATCTGCACACTGAGATTTGCAGTAGAAAAGATTAGTGTTTATTATTGAATGGGGGCTGGTCAAAGAGAATGGGGCAGCTAGTGCTATAAACAGCCAAACTCCTCAATGGCTTAAAATCACAAGCATTTATAGAGCAAATTCACAAGTAGGGGTCTTGGGAGTCATGTGTGGATCCGATTGGCTTGTGGTGAGGTCAGCACAGATATTTCTGGCATCTTGACTGAGGTCTTCTCTCAGCTCCTTCGAGTCTGGG